TTTATCAGTTAAAAAACATATAAAAATTGCACAGTCTAACCCACCTTGTTGAACGGGTCTATCAGTTGAAGCATATATTCTACGCCAAGTGATGTCGCAGAGATTATGTTTTTTTCGAATTTTACATTCGTCTAAATACTTGAAAAATCTTATTATAGCCATGTCTCCAGTTTTATCACTAACGTCCATAGGATCAATATGCATTTTTGTTTGTTGTTCTACATTGATTATTATTGCACACCAATGACTATTTTTACAGTAAGGGAAAACTACCGTGTTGGTAAATTCATGATTTAAATTGTACATTAACCATTCATCATTTTTTATCGAATCACAAGAGTAGCCAAGTATGTAGTTTGTTTGATCAGTGGGAACGACCAAAATTTTTTTCCAATCACATAAAATTTTAGAAATAAAATAAGAATCGATAACACTTCCTGTAACTTCCATATTACTTTTTAAAGTTTGAAAATCTTCGGACCATAAAACATGTTTGCTTTTTTGCATTCGCATACTAAAAAGATTTTTCAGAATAGAATTACAATCATAATAGGCAACAGTATACTTTTGATCGCTTTTGACATTCAAACTCTCAATAATTAATTTTTGAATTTGTTTATATTTTTTTTGTGATTTATTTTGATGGCAATTATTATTTGAAGTTGTAACAGTTTTTTCAGGTATTTCAGTAAGAGCTTCTTTAATCAAAGTCTTACCAATTTTTGTACTTCCATTAATTAGATCTAAGTGGTGCAACAAGAATCTTTTGACAGAGACTGGACTATTCATTTGATAATCTGATTTTATTATTTTATAATAACACTCAGATAAAGCTGATGTTGAAACAGTATTTTTTGAGCCCATCGGTTTGTTCATGACATTTGTCCACGATGGAAATTGAGAAAATAATTTAATCATGTACGGTGATAAATTTGGTAAGTAGTAATTATTAGGAACTTCAAAATCTCCAGTTTGTCCACATAAAATTTTCAAACAATTATTGTAGATGTCCAAAATATATTTTTCAATTTTACTCGATTTTTTCGTGCCGCGCGCTTGGTTACAGCCAGATCGTCCCTAACCTACAACTTCAATCCCTCTCCCGCTCTGTCTCTACCGCTTTACGTCCGCTCGCCCTCCCCTAACTACTACTCAATTCTGTTTTGCCGACGCCACCAATCGATGGTGGCCCGGAGGCAAAATCGAGAACAAATATACAGCACGTGATCGTGCTTTCAGGTCTGACGACGGCTGGACGAGCCTGTACGGCTCCCAGAGCGCCCTCGCGGACGTTGTTACGCAGTTCGCGCTCGACGTGGACCGGATCGAAGCCTGGAGCCTGGGGCTTGTGGACGTGAGGCTAGAGCTTCTCCAGGGCTACTGGCATGATTTCCAGTCGAACCACGTGAGGTTGCTGAACGGCCCGCCGCCGGAGAAGCGGGGCCTCCTGGATCGATTGTACACGCGAGTGGAGGCCAGCTACATCACCGCAAGGGCGCGCCTCTACGACGCGAGGCTGTCAATGGCGCCCCTCCCGCCGCCCACCGACGGTAATCCTGCCCCTTCACCGAGCTCAGGGCCTGCTCGTGGCCCTCGCCTGCCCCGGATCAGCATTCCCAACTTCTCCGGCAAGCGAGAGGACTGGGAAAGCTTCCGAGACCTCTTTCGCGCCCTCATCCACGAGGACAGCCATCTCACGAACGTCGAACGGCTCTTCTACTTAAAATCACTCGTCCAGGGGGACGCCAAAACGACGCTCGAGGCCATCCAGATCGCTGACGCGAACTACGAGACCGCTTGGGCCCTGTTGGAGGCACGGTTCGAGCACCGCCGCATTCTCGTACACGACCACATCACGGCGCTTCGCAACATTAAACCGTTGCGAGAGGAGTCGGCTCGAGGTTTGCAGGGTCTGTTGGACACGTTGGGCCGCCATCGAGATCAGCTGCGCACTCTGGGCCGTCCGGTGGCGGAGTGGGACGACTGGTTCGTTTCCTGTGCACTCACGGGGATGAACTCCTCGACGCGGCGCGCGTGGGAGGACGAGCTTGAGCGACTCGAGGTCGCAAATTCGGACGCCGGGCGCGCCCTGGCAACCTTCGACACCCTGGCCGGCTTCCTGCGTCGGCGATGCCGGGCTCTGAGCTCCATGGAGGCCTCCCATCCTGCACGCCAGTCCGCCGTGCCCGGTGCGCGTCCGGCGGTCCCTGCCTCGGCCGGCCGTACCTATCGTACTCTTGCGACGGGTGGCACGGTGTCGGCCTGCTCGGTTTGCCAGGGGTCTCACTACCTGGGCCACTGCGCACAGTTTCACGGTCTTGAGCCGCGCGCTCGGAGAGATCTNATGTGAGTTTTTCGGCCGCGAGGGCGCTGGCTGCGCGGTCGTGTCCTGCCGAGTCCTCCCCCCCGCGCCCCGATCGCTCTCTCCGCCAAGGCGCTCGGTGCTGCGCGCTACGATCAATCGTGCTCGAGCCGACTGCCAAGCAAGACGTGTGAGCCGCCACTCGCTCAACAAGAAGAAGAAGAGAGAAGAGGAGAACAAAGGAGACTACGACGCGACGTTAATGTGTTTATTTGCTGTCTCGCAGCCTGTATACGTTCCACTATCAATAAAGAGTATTTTTCCACAAAACACTTAAGTAATCAAATGTAGAAATTTTTGTCATTAGCCAATCTTTCCTTTTATAACATTCACTTTCAGTGTCAATATATTGGCTTTCACAAACAATAAAAATTGCTGAAATTAGATCATTTAATGATTGCAAATTATCAATTTGTAAGCAATATCCAACACTCCGTACAAAAAATTTTTTTTTCGTCCAATTTTCATTTTTAAAACAATCAAGTTGACAGATATTTTTGATCAGATGAGCCCTATCTCTTTTAATTAAGCAATTTGGTAATTTTTTTTTTACGCCTGTCAAGTACTCATAACACTGGTCCAAGTAAGAAATATAATACATATTATTAAATACCAAACACGTAGCATTAAGAAGGGCATCAGAACAATCCATTACTATTTCTTTAGGAGTTAGTGCCCCATGATCCAACCAAGAGCGTAACCAAAAAAATATTGATTGAGTATCGTGACAACTTGATAGGCACTGGCTTCACGTAAAAACTTAATTATTGAAATTGCACACAATATTATAAAAAAATACATATGAACTTGTGTTATCTTTATATATTATAGGAGCCCGCACTAAGCTTCCGGTAGCATCAATCGAGAGAACAACATTAAATGCAAAAAGCTCCTTCCATAAATTAATTTGGTTGTCGGTAAAATAATAAATATAATATGGAAAAGATGAAAATTCCCTAATACTTGGTACGTCGTTCATCATTGACAATATAGACATGATAGCTCCCCCAGGATACTTGGAGATATCATAAAGACCATCTTTTGCTTCCTGCCTAACTACAGAATGAACTGGAGCTGAAGCAATAAGGGGGCAATTTCCTCCAGAATCATTTAATAACTTATTTGCTAACTTTTGCCTATATTCAAGGAGTTTAACACACAAGAGTTCATTTTTTGCTTCAGTTCTTGTTTGTCCTTTCAAGGCTAATTTTTTTGAGTGTTTTATATTAGTGGTATCTACACATTGAAATGATATAACAACTCTATTTTCTTGTAGGCTATCACATATGCCAATGATTTCTTGTTTACAGATTTTGTCAGTGCAACTACCAAATAGCCGAAAATGTGGAAAATCTGGGCTTTTATAAAATTTTTGCCGTTTGAAAACAAAAGCACACGGTAAATGTTTAACCTGCCAAATTTTTGTGCTTATCATTCGTGGCCAATAGTTATTAAGTCTTTGATCAATTCTATCTTTATTATACTTTATGGTAGGCTTTATACAATTCCACTCGTCATCATCAATGCTAATTTCAAAAGTTATTTTTTGTAACTTGGCTGGCATTTTCGAACTATTTTGAGACTTTAAAAAATTTAATTTCATTAGCGAATCAAAAGAAAAGTATTATGTCAGAACATCAATCATATCTATTCCTTTCAAACATATAAACACCACACACACATAAATTTTTACGCAATGCACTTCATAGTGTGCCGCTAAAGCTAATGTCCAAGATTCGCAGATGTAAATGTTTTCTTCACTTGATGATTTCATTCGAAGTTTCAAAAGAACTTTTTCCAGGGTTTAGATTTCCTTGCTCAGCAAACTGCAGTGGTGCAGAATTTTTCACAATTTAACCCAATGTATGGCGGCTCCCACTAATAATAATTAGATTATCTGAAATATACAAGTACCACGTTAAATACAAATAAGAGTAATACGATAGAAAAATGTTCACAATACGTTTGTTACTTACCAAAGCCTATTTTTTTAGAAACGCGTTATTTGTTTTTACTGATAATTCGCGAATAAACGTAAGAATAAATGTATAAAAATACATCAATACATGTAACAACACGCTTTGGCAAGTTTTTAAAAGTGTGCCTTTTTCAGGTGACTTGAAACCCGCGAAATTCAAATTTCAATATCAGTAAAGGTAAATTAAAACTATTCATAACCATATTGGCAAAGTTGTGTACAAATTTATCAACAAAAAACTGTATTACCAACTGTAAGAAGTTGAAAACTATTACAATTTTACTTATAGAAAGAAAAAAATTTAACTAAGAAATATACACGAAACTTTCAATAGATCGTTGAAAAAGAACCATAAAAAAAATTTAATTTATTTTTTGGCATATGATGTAATAATAAATTAATTTTGTATAATAATTAGTAATAAAACTTGTAAAATACCTTTCAATGGAATTAAAAAATTTTATACAAACTCTCCGCACAAAAGTTAATTAATTTTCATACATCTTATACAAAAAAACGCACTACTTACCAAATCAAAGTTAATAGTATGTAGAACATTAAGATTCAGAAAGAAAAACTGCTCTTTGTCCCCGATCAGTNCTCGTAGCTCAGGCCACTGTCTTTGGTTGGGTCTTTATTGGGCAAGCCGCCGGCCTAGAGATGTCGCACGCCTCACCGAACGTCAGTCTGACATCTCAGGCCGACTCGCCTCCTCCTTGGCATCTTGAGCTGGCATCCCTGCTGCAGCGCTTCTGGGAACTCGAGGACGTTCCACAGGCCCACCGGCAGGCCCCCAACGACGTCGAATGTGAACGCAGCTTCGCTGACCATGGCCGGGCTGAGGACGGGCGCTACGTCGTGCGCCTGCCTCTAAAGCAAGGGGGCTTGCAGCTCCTCGGTGATAGTTGTCAGAGCGCCCTGGCCTCGTTGACTGCGCTGCAGCACCAGCTACAGAGAGCCCCCGAGATGGCCGTCGAATACACCAAGTTTATGGCCGATTATCTCGCTTTGGGTCACATGAGGCCTCTCACTAGCGCTCAGTTGGCCGGGTCGTCCCACCCCGCTCATTACATCCAGCATCATAGCATATGGCAGCATAGTGACCAGGGCCAAAAGCTGCGCGTTGTCTTTAACGCTTCACATCCAACTTCGAGCGGCTGCAGTCTAAACGATGTCCTGCACGCCGGGCCCCGACTTCAAACGGCCTTACCTCACGTGTTACTTCGCTGGCGCCGACATCGTATCGCCTTCTGCAGCGACGTTCAAATGATGTTCCGCCAGATCTGGATCGATGACCGAGACGTCGACTTGCAGCGGATCGTTTGGAGCGCGGACCCTCGAGAGCCGCCCACGCACTACCAGTTGCTCACTGTCACATACGGCGCGTCGTGCTCTCCGTATCTTTCCCTACGTACCATCCAGCAGCTGTGCGAGGACGAGGGCTCCCGTTGGCCCGATGCGGTGCCCGTTGTTATGCGCGACCGCTACGTCGATGACATTCTCTCTGGAGCCGATAGTCTCGACACTGCGCGACACCTCCGTGACCAGTTGATCGGCCTCATGCAAGCTGGCGGTTTTCCGCTCCGGAAGTGGGTCGCGAGCACACCAGAGCTGCTCGAGGATCTTCTGCCCGATGTTCGCTTGCGCCCCGCCTGGGATCAGCTCGGCGCTGAGGGCCTTGTTAGCGAGCTGGGCGTTGGTTGGGATCCCCCGGTCGATCGCCTTCGCCTGACTCCGGTCGTCGTGCAACGCCAGACTACGAAGAGGACCATGCTCGCGGCGCTTGCAAGCGTCTTCGACCCATGTGGTTGGCTTGCGCCAATCACTTTGAACGCGAAATTGCTGCTGCAGGATCTTTGGCGGGCTCACCTCGACTGGGACGAAACAGTACCATCGTCCATGGTCCGGCGCTGGATGGACTTTGTGTCTGAGCTCCAAGTCATCTCCGGCTTCTCTCATCCCCGATGGATCGGTGTCTCGCCAGCGTCCGACCTTCATCT